TTAGGCAAATAAAAACATGTTTCAGACAAAACTTACGTACTTTTTAACGTGAAATGCGAATCTGTTATAAAAAATGGGGGTTCCCATTTTAGATTTTAAAGTTGTCCCCCGCCCCACCCACAGGGGTGGGGGTGGGGGGTCAATTTGGGTATCATTCGATAGCTCTTTCAAAAATAGGAAATACGTATTTTTCCGTTTTCCGATCCACCCACAATTTCTCGGGATATTCAACCGTTCCGGGACTTTTAGACCACCCTGTATATTCTTTTATTCAGAATCGACTTGTTGCGTAAGTGCGAAAGAATCGCGTTATTACCTGTACTTGAATTTGTCCACCGCAACTGACATGTGTCTGGGCTGCTCGGGACAAGTGTACAGATTTCTATCGTCCTCCGGAAGTAAGTCAACATCATGAAAGATGAAGCAGTCGAAGGTTTTTTCTTTTAAAGCCTCTACGTAGCCGACGTTCATGAGCATTGCTCGGTTAAAGGCCCCGGTACCTGAAGACAGAACGACACGGATAAACATCGCTGTATATTGCTAAAGAGAAATACTTAAAATCTTCCCAAGCTAAAAGAATAAAATCAATTCGATATAAAATAACGACAAAGTAATTTTCAGTTGACATATGACAATCAATTCGATATAGTTTGACGATTCTCCTTAAAAACACACTTTTCTCCTCTTGAAAACAATTTCACAAATAATGATTCTAATTTCTCGGAAAATTCAAAGTTTGAATGTTATTGCCAATCGTTTGAACAAAACGTTTAAGCTTTATCTTGATACGATTATTTCATGTATAAACGCTTTCATATTCAACATTTCATTATTTATTAAATCACACGAAGTAGAAGCAAATAACAGACGTAAATATCGATCAAAACGTGGAGCTTATTTAATAAATTGCAGCATGTCGAAGCGGAGTCGGCGTGCGTTCGCGGCTGGTAACTCACTAAATCTTTGAGACACTCCATTGTTAATCAAGCCTCAAATATTCAGCATGATCCGGCGTGAGATTTTAATTCCCTCCCTCCCTTCCTAATTTATGCACGCCTGTTATTTATGAATGCTGATTAGTTCGACCTACTACAAGCTATCAAAGTTGCTCCACGTTCTCGACTCGTGGCTGCAGCAAATAATCCGTTCTCCGGCGTGTTTTAAAGAAACTTTCTTGGCAAAGTTGCTATAACAGACTTGGTTAAAAGCCGAGGGAAGTCTTGATCTCCTCCGGAAGGGACGAGGAAGCAGCCGCGTACAAATTGCCGCTGGTTTGACAAGAGGAGGTGCCGTCTCGGCAGGATTGATGAAAAAGGGGGTTGCAGGAATCCGGGGACGTTTGCCAAAGCCGTCTGGCGCAATTAAAAGTTTCGCGTCTTATCCTGTCATCGCGGTTACTCGGATGCCATGACGAAAGTGGGTCATACGTAGGGAACTTTGGGCGAATATTTCCTGCCATCCGCGCGTCGTCCGCTCGTCGTTTTCAACCTCTTACGCTGGGATACGTAGTCGGGGAACATTAGGACGGACCCCGAGGGGGAAACCGCTGAACAAAATCTTGTACACCAATGCCCTAACTAATGCCCAGTGGCTATTACTTTATCTTATTATCTTGTTTCATCTTATTTTATCTTTACACCCCTACAAAGGATTTCTGTTACCGAGACAAAAGAATATTCTTGACGCATTTATATTACAAGATTCTATCGAAATACTCGGAGCGGATGCGTTCTTCGGTGAAAAACGCACTCCGAGTCTCCTCCCGAGCAGAGTCGAAAAGTGCCGGTTGAGTTTGAATTGAATTCTAAATGGAAAGCGCGCCATGTGTCGATTTGTGTCAAAAATGTCGACTGTGTTCCTCGAAAGGAAAGCAGCCCACATAATGTTTTTACGTGACAAGACTATCAGCTGAATACATTGGTCAGTGCTTTCCATCAGCGTCGCTCATCCTAGAAAAGCGGCATTATAAATAATTCCCAAGTTAAATTTATCGAACCGCGTCGCGGAACGCTCCGTGTATCGCTTCCTGCGGAGGAAGACGGAAGCGAAGGAGCGCGGAAAGCGCGCGAGGCTAAAAGGAATCTAACTGGAACCCGACGTCGTCGTCCGTCGCGTCCGATTATTCGAGAACGATTACGAGACCGGCGAGCCAGCCAGGCTCTATCTCAAAGAACGAGGGGGAGAGGCAAAAGCTGACGTTCTCAAAGCCGCTGGGCTGGCATCTCCCCGTCCGTCGTCGATTATTATTGGCTGAATAAACTTCGCGCTCGATCGAATCCCCCGCGCCGCCGCCGCCGACCAGCGTACGCGGAAGACGCACGCGGCGAGATAAAGAGCGTTGCGAGGAGGACCCCCCGTCGGAGGAGCGTTCGCCAGACGCGCGCGCGGCGGGATATGAACGGTCTTGTTTCTCCCGGTCCCGACGAAAGGCGACTCGGAAGTGTATTCCGGGTATTTCAGATATTTCTTTATGCGATGGGTAAAAAGGGGATGCGCTGAAGCTGGATGCAGGGGGGGAGGAGGGGGGGGGGGGACACGACGGAATATAGCGGGCGACGATAAAGAGACGCAGGTGCAGCGCGCGACTAACGGAAACAATTTCACGGAAAGGCGGAATGGAAACTCATCCCCCGAAGGAAGGACGTGTTGACCTAAAGGATGTGAATGTCGGGCGATCTAATGGGGTTTCATTACGGAGCGGTTGTGCGTTATTTACGACGCGTCTCATTGACACTCGCGTTCCGGAGTGTACTGTGCAATTACGCTCTTTGACGAATTAGCATTGCAAACGGACGGGAAGCGAGACGTGGTTTGGCTGAGAAAAAGCAGACAAACGGCTCTCTAAAATCTCTCAGGCGTACGAGGCGTCGGTGTCATCGCGGAGGCGCCGTCGGAAGATGGCAAATTGCTTTCAGCGGGTCGTCGGTGGATCTAATTCTCGAGACAATAGTATCGAGATCTTTCATTATCATTCGCAGTATTACGTATTTTGAAGTATCGAATAAACCGATCGCTTTATTGAAAGCCCGCAAAGCTGAAGAGGTGCTCGTCCTCGTGAAGGACAAAGTCAAAACGCAATCGATTTACGCCTTTATCCCTCTTTAACCCTTTGAAGCACGGTGGTACCCTACGTTACCACGTCAACTTTTTTACTTTTTGGCCATTTAATTTCTAGTTAACGCATTTAGGTCGTTTTGTGCATTTTTGGGTGTCTTAGAAAGAGCATAAAAAAGTTGAGTAGTCTTTAATATTTATTGTAAAAGTTTTATAAACAAACAAATATGAAAAAACAATTTTTTCGGAAAGATTAATTATTGACCAAGTTTTTTTAAGATTCTTTCTGGAAAACTTTGTACAAAGGGGTTTTCGGGGTCGCTCATTACGAATCTGATGTCAGATTTTTAAAATTCAAAATGGCCGACTCAAAATGGTGGATACAAAGTACGTGAATTTTTTAAGTTTTCAGCATTTTCGTTTGATTACGGTATTTAGGGACTCGTCACGTCCGCGTCGTTAGCTCTGGGTAGTGCCATAGAATGAGTAAATTCTAAGAAATGATGAAATTTCAATTAAATTAATTTAATAAATAGTATCCTATATCCCATGAAATTTTTATTTGAATGTAGAAAATGTAATGATTTAAATTAATTTACTTAATATAATACATGGATTTACTTAAAATTTGATATTTTTATTTAAATAGAATAAATATTTACTTCAGTAAAAAATTAATTTTAAATAAATCTATTTACTTAGTTTAAAAGAAATTTTTGTCAGTGTAGTAATTTGAAAGAACTCTTCATAAAATTCTTTAAAATGCCACGTTGTCCCACGATAAGAGAAAATTCTTTCTGTATGTCAATTTACCGTCATTTTATCGCGCAATTATCATGTAACACGTAAACACAAGTTTGTAGAGAAGTTCGCACGATAGATAATGGTCGATTAAATGTTTATCAATGTCTTTCGCTCGCGACGAGCAATGCCGTGATAAATTGAGATCGTATCCAAGTTGCTGTCCCGATGGACACCGCTCTCTTCTCTCAGCCAGCGATTCATTTCCATATCCGTTTCCGCGGAGGAACGCCGCTTATTTATTCATCCGAAAGAATTGCGTCTGCAACATCAAGTTATGCGCTGCCACGTTTGGAGAACGCAAAACGACGCGCGCGCGCCGTCATCGCCGCGGCCGTCTATCTGTATTTCCGGCCGTAGGTTTCGTACATTAAAATTCCCGGAATATTCCCCGTTGTTCCCGTCGCGTCCGACGTGTTTCAGCTTTCGTTACTTTCATCGCAGGAAACGTAATTTCTCTCAATTTTTTTTGCAGCTGCAACCGTGCGCGCGATATTTTCCGCGCACGCGATTGCAACTTGAATTCATGTCCCGCGAGACGTCATTCGACGAAATTATTATAATATTCGCGGAACAACGAGATATCACAATTTTACGAATATAATTCAATCGTCGCTTATTACAATCGATCGCGAAAATCGCTTCTAATAGAATGCAACGAGTGTACGAAAGAGTGCAATTTTCTGAATTCAAGATTTCACTATAACGACAGTCGTTTCACCGTTTGTCTCTCCCGTCATCCCACCGACACGAGAAAAACTCGATCGCGTATCTCTCATCGTAATTATCGAGCCCGAGGACGGGGAGGCGGCGGATTTCCTCCGTATCGATGACCGGACGGTCGCTGTTAATGATTGTATACAGTTACGATAATAAGAGTCTATCCCGTGCGGATGCACGCCGGTGCTTCCGACAGTTCTACCTAGCGCGCGATATTAATGGGCGGATTTCTGTATCGCGAGAGAGTGCCCGAAGCCGCGGCGGCCGGCGACAGGTGCGACTAATTGTCCGCGAGAGTTGCCCGCCTCGATAATCTTGCGGTAGTAGACACTCACGGAGGAACGTCCGCTGCTCTTCTGCACTTCTGTTTCGAGGAACTAATATTAGACGACGACCGGAATGCGAATATCCAGGCAGGTTATATAACGTATATTTAAATCTAGCATTTGTCTAACTCTATTTACCCAAAATTAACATTCAGATAACTTGCACGTGGAATAACAGCCGGGAAATTGCTGAAATAGCTGTTACTTTGTAATAAATGAATGGACTTTCATATTCCCATCTAATATTGACTTCAATATACAGGGTGTTACGTAATACCCGCCTCGCCTCGTATGTACGGATAGAGCGGATTAGACCGAGCTAAAAAGTCCTGTACCATTTTGCAATTTTCGCAATGGTCAACGAGTTATCAATTATCAAAAATCGCTGTCTTAGCTCCGCCTACCGCCCAATTCAAGCGCGCGGGGAGTTGTTTACGACACGCGGCAACGGCTACGTATAATAAACAACTCCCCGCGCGCCAATCGCGGGACGGCCGCGTCTCCCCGCGCGCTTGAATTGGGCGGTAGGCCGGGCTAAGACAGTGATTTTTAACAATTAATAACTCGTTAACTATTACGACAATTGCAAAATGGTAGAG